TTTTTTTCTACCTGGTAATTTGACTGGCCAAATGTATTTGCAATTACTGGAAGACGCGATTGACCCTGCCTTGACTGATATTATTGAAAATGTTCCAGAGTATGATGAAGATAATTTGATTTTTCAATAGGACGGTGCTCCTCCGCATTATGCGTTAATTGTCCGTCAGTATTTGGACCAACGTTTTCTACGGGGTTGGATTGGGAGAAGAGGCAGCATTGAGTGGCCTCCACGATCACCGGATTTATCGCCCCTTGAGTTCTTTTTGTGGGGGGTACCTAAAAAGTAAAATCTATAAAACACAGCCAGCATCGCTGGAAGATTTGCGTCAAAGGACCGTCGACGAATGCCATCGAATCACTCCGGAAATGCTTCGGAATGTGCGCGAACGTTTCGAACAAAATCTTTATTCTTGTATGGAAGCGGGCGGTTATCAGTTTGAATATTTAATTAACTAAGTAGTAAGTAAGCAACTAAACATAAATTAAATTTTAAAATGTAATTTTTTTCATTCATAAATGATTAATTAGGATATACAGTGCTGAAATTCATTCACTTCGCGGAGTCTCCTCCTGTCCTGGCTGAGACCCGCCAGCTGAGACCCGCCGCCGGCGACTAAGGCCTGTTCTCCTGACGATCACGCTTTTCTGAAGCATCTAATGGGCCCGTATGGTCAACGTTACAGAAGCAATATGTAAGTGACGCCATTCAAATTACTCGAAATTAATAGGTATATATTAAAACTCACTCAGTAATGAGGACATTTACTTTGATTTAGATACAACTGCACTAAATACGAGTTTACGGGATGGTTTATTTAGGCTATATTTGAGTGAAAGTACTCAGTTTTAATTTAAATATAATCACAAATGAGTAAAATGATCAAAATCCCCATATTGAGTGAAAATAGACACAATAATTTCACTCAATGAATTTACTCCGAACCTTTCTTGCTTTCACTCACACCGATATTTTTTACAATGTAATTAGAATATGCTACATCCACCAACAACCCTGAACGTACCCAAAGAAAGTTTTTGAAGTACTTGTCTTTTAAACTAGATGGAATATATTCTGAAATTGGTGTCAATAACTCAAAATTGTATGTAGGTACAAAGCTTTTTATGTAGATATGTATGTACCATGTATTCACAAATCATGCTCTATAAATTAATTAACAATTTAGTGGACTATCCTGTTTTGTTAGAATTGATACATTTCTATTTACCAAATGTCACCACCCATAACAATGCACTGGTCTATTTCTCAATGCCATTTGCTCTTACACTCGCTGACATATTTGACATACTTTGTTCATCTAGCTTTAGTTCAAAATTAACTTGTAACAAACTGAACTTAATGCAAAGTTGTCTTTTATACAGGCTGTCTCTAAACAAATAGGCCAAATAAAGTAAGTTATAGCAGCTTGAATGACCTGCTAACAACGATTTTACTTAAATAGTTGAAGTACCACTACCGAATTTAGTACATGTTTTTGGTTATTGAAGACTCATATTTACGCAGAGTCGTAAACAAATGGGTTGCGTAGGGTCCATTTTTTCATAGCCACTTTGATAAAAATACGTCGATATTTTGGTGTCTCGAAAAATGTAAATTTAGATTTTCTAGTAGAAAAGAATTATGGTAATTGAAAAATGTATTGCTACTGGAAAATGTTGCTAACATACAATGAGTATATGTTGACTACTACCAAGAATAACACATCAAAGAAAGCTGTGACCGCTTTTACATGCGAATAAGTGTTTTTACACATTAAAAATAAATATTTAACACCTCTAACAAATTGTAGGTACATATTCAAATAATAAAAAAAAGAAAAACATTGTAAAGAGAAACAGAATATTTATTGTATCATAGTACTATACAGTGTGGGCTATTTTGGTGATGCTTGTATTGGTCTTTTGGAAACTATAAAAGATAGGAAGATGGTTAGATGGGGGAAATTAATGGGGCTTTCAGACCGGTCCTAACTCTTCGGTTTTTTAGTTATTTAAAAAAAGTAAATGTGGCGTTTTCGAAAATCGTTTGCAACTCTTTCATTTAGATAAATGTTTAAAATCTGAAAGATAAGCTTTTACAAAAATTTGAGACTATTCTATAATAGTTCGAAAAATTATGCGATATTGACAGATTTATTAAAAATTTTAAAACGTTGATTATTGAGGATGTGTTTGATATTTTTTCTTGCTTATATCACTGAAGAGTAAAAAAATGCTCTATTTGCTAAGTTTAAACTTCAATATGTCGCCCACAAGATAAAAGAATGTTGATGATGGTTTGTCGCAACGGAAATGTTGCAATGAAAATCTAAATATACAGGGAAATTTCTCAAAAGAACTTGCTGTGAAAAAGTGATTACAGATTTTAAAAATTCCTCTAAATAAAAAAGTTACAGACGATTTTCGAAAACGCCGCAATTAATTTTTTTCAAAATAACTCAAAAACCTGAAGAGCTAGGACCTACAAGACCATTAAGCTAGCAACAGAACTGTCTGAAACTTTCCCCATCTAACCGATTTCCTATAGTATAGTCCTCGTATAGTTTCCAACATACTAATTCATGCATCACCAAAATGATCCATACTGTATATGTAGTATGTACATACTAGTAAATACAAATTAATTAATGTGAAATATCATAAGTAGTCTTAATTAGTAGTTATTTTTCATTGCTACATGATGATACATTTTTTAATTTTACTCAAAAACCACGTATTTTAGCAAAATTTTTCAAGCGCAATAATTTTTTCAATCACCACCACCCTTTTATACCAGAGGATCAAAATTTCCAGGAGTTAAAAGAAAA